CCTGAACTCAAGAGTTCAAGACCAGCCTGGGCAAAATGGTGAAACCCCATCTGTACTAAAAATATAAAAATTAGTCCTGCATAGTGGCACGCACCTGTAGTCCCAGATACTTGGGAGGCTGAGGCCTGAGACTCCCTTGAACCTGGGAGGCAGAGGTGTCAGTGAGCTGAAATTAAGCCACTGCACTCCAGCCTGGGTGATGGAGTGAGACTCTTGTCTTAAAAAAAAAAAATTAGGCCGGGTGCAGTGGCTCGCGCCTATAATCCCAGCACTTTGGGAGGCCAAGGCGGGTAGAGCATGAGGTCAAGAGATCGAGACATCCTGGTCAGCAAGGTGAAACCCGGTCTCTACTAAAAATACAAAAATTAGCTGGGCATGGTGATGCGCGCCTGTAGTCCCAGCTACTCCGAAGGCTGAGGCAGGAGAATTGCTTGAACCCAGGAGGCGGAGGTTGTGGTGAGCCGAGATGGTGCCACTGCACTCCAGTCTGGGTAACAAGAGTGAAACTCTGTCTCAAAAAAAAAAAGAAAAAAAAAATTAACCAGTAAAGTGAAAAATTAAAGTAGCAGTTAAAAAATTAAAGTAGTGCCATATGCACTGCCATGGCAAAAAGTGAAAAAGATTATGTAGTATAAACTTGTTTTCACTTAAAATTATATACACATATTTGTATACATAGAAAAATAAAAAAAAAATGTACACCGAAATCTTAATTATTGGGGGAAGTAGGATTATGAGAGATTTCACTTTCTATAGTAACTGTTAATATTCATATTATTGTTGTCAGCATTAAATGAGTTATGTCATAAAGCAATTAAAAGTGCCTAACACATGGAAACTACTATATAAATATTATGTTATACTGAAATCGTTTTGGAAATATTTTGGGGTGGTTTTTTGGCAATGAGCATGTATTATTTTTATAAGCAGGAAAAAATAAATACTTGAAGTGGTGAAAATGCAGGCATTTGACATTTTAAATGTGAATGAAAGATTAAAAATGAGAGCTAGAGGATGCCAAATAGTCCTCTATGCATACTTGAAAGGACCTAGTTAAAACGGTTGATAATGCTAAGGCCCCAGGCAGAAGAGAATGCTAAACTCTAATGATAACATGAACTGATATTTAATGAATGTTTACCCTGGGCCACGTGTTCCAATTGCTTTTGAGCCCACAGGGAGGAAAGGTTAATCTTTTCCTTTTGAGATTAGAATAAAGATTTTGTTTTTGTTTTTGTTTTGAGATGAGTCTCTCGCTCTGTCTGCTCATTGCAATCTCCCCCTAACAGTTTCAAGGGATCCTCCTGCCTCAGCCTCCCAAGTAGCTGGGACTACAGGCATGCCCCAGCTTATTTATTTCTTTATTTGTATTATTATTATTTTTTTTGAAACGGAATTTCGCTCTTGTTACCCAGGCTGGAGTGCAATGGCGCGATCTTAGCTCACTGCAACCTCTGCCTCCTGGGTTTAGACAATTCTCCTGCCTCAGCCTCCCGGGTAGCTGGGATTACAGGCATGCGCCACCATGCCCAGCTAATTTTTTATATTTTAGTAGAGACGGGGTTTCACCATGTTGACCAGATGGTCTCGATCTCTTGACCTCGTGATCCACCCGCCTCAGCCTCCCAAAGTGCTGGAATTACAGGCTTGCCTTGCCCAGCTTTTTTTTTTTTTTGAGACAGAGTCTTGCGCTCTGTCCCCCAGGCTGGAATGCAATGGCTCAATCTTTGCTCCCTACAACCTCCACTTCCCAGGCTCAGGTGATTCTCCTGGTTCCCTATCCCGAGTAGCTGGGATTACAGGAGCCCACCAGCACACTGGGCTAATTTTTGTATTTTTAGTAGAGACGGGGTTTCACCATTTTGGCCAGGCTGGTTTCAAACTCCTGACCTCAAATGATCTGCCGGCCTTGCCCTCCCAATGTGCTGGGATTACAGGTGTAAGCCACCATGCCCAGCCCAGAACAAAGATTGTTAACCTCAATTTCTTGAAATTGAAATGGTATCCTAAATTTGTTGGGTAAATGCATTTTTTAAAATACAAGAGAAGGCCCATAAATTTAATCAGATTTTTAAAAGGGGGTTTGAGCCCTCTCTTTCAAAGATAAAAGAATCAAGTTAGGAAGGCTGATTTTATTTATTTATTTATGTTTTGAGACGGATTCTCACTCTATTGCTCAGGCTGGAGTGTATTGGTGCAATTTTGGCTTACTGCAACTTCTGCCTCCTGGGCGCAAGTGATCTTCCCACCTCAGCCCCCAAAGTAGCTTGAGACAACAGATGTGTGCTGCCTAATTTTAGTATTTGTAGTATAGATGGGGGTTTTGTGGGTAACCCCCCATATAGGCACCGAGGAATGAGAGCTAAGCAGAACCCTGGCACAGTTAGGGCCTGAGGAATATCTCAATTTATAGTGTTACTACTCAGCTATTTCCTTTTATATAATCCTTTACATAATCAGTTATTAGTTTATAGAAATAGGACTTCACTTTATATAATCCTCTATATGTAATCATGTAATAGTTGATAGTATGAGTGCCTAAAGAATATTTCCCTACATATATACCTATAATTATATCTTAGTTCATAATCGGAGGAATGCCTAGAGTGGACACAGTACAGAGCATGAATTAAGGAATAAGCAGCTTATAATCAGAGGAATGCCTAGAGCAGACACAGTGCAGAGCATGATTTAAGAGAAAAACAGTTATACCGGGACGAGAATCCATGGCCCAGGTGGCAGCGTTCAGTATCATAAAGATACCCGCTGTATGACAGGCTTGGGGCGAGAGCCACTCCTCCTGATAAAGGAGTTGTAGGACCTTGCTCCAGTTCTTGTGGAAGGCTGCCCTCAGACCGGCAATCCACCTTGGTGACTGTGAACTTTATCAGCTCTTGCTACTATGCTGCTCGAAAAGCATCTTCCCGTAGAACTCATTGGAAGCTGCCAGAAGGTGGCGGTAACCCTGACAGCTCTGTCACTGCTAAGTGACTTAAAGCATCCTCCTATAAATCTTCTTAGAAGTAGTTTGCCCATAGAAAGAAGTATTGCACACTGCACCCTCTTCACTGTGCACAGCCCACCTTCAAACCTCGGTGACCTAATGGGGGTGGACCCCTTACTGCACACGGCCCTTGCCTTCATGGGAACGGGCCCCTTGCTGTGCACTGTCCACCTCCTGGCCTAGGTGACCTAATGGGGGTGGACCCTATGTTTCATTGCTCACGACCCTATCGCTATCCTTAAAGATGATTTCACTCACTGCTCTGCCCCCTAACCTATACACAATAAATACTCATGCTTCTGGACATTCGGGGCCTTGCCTGACTCCGCTTATAGGTGGGGTGGCCCCCCTGAGCCCAGCTGCGTTTTCCTTGTACTTCTGTGTTCTGTCTCTTTATTTCTCGGATCTTGTGCCTCAGCACAGCATAAGGCTCACCCCACGACCCTGTGGGGCCCTCAGCCCTACAGGTTTCACCATATTGGCCAGGCTGCTCTCGAACTCCTGACCTCGTGATCTGCCTGCCTGGGGCCTCCCAAATTGCTGGGATTACCGTCTGAAAGATCAGTTTTAAAAATGAATATTTTGAAGTAATGAGAAAACGAGAGGATTTCTGCCATATGTCCTTTCTCCCAGTAAAACAGGATTAGAGATTCCCTTTACGGACAGTAAAATTGGGTAATTGTGACAGTCCCAAATTCTGTTGATTGATTCATCATCCTTCCTCCATCATACTCGTCTAAGGGCAGAGTGAACTTTCATCCTGAAGGCTCCGCGCTTAGTTTTCGCAGATCAATAATAGCTCACCCGGAATTTATCATCTTTTCTTCCCACTTCCTTGAAACCAGTCTAAATTCTTTCCAAATATCTTCTCAACGTAGTCTTCTTTGATGAAATTTACTATTTTGGATTCTAGACTTGGCTCTTACCAACTTAACTTTCGGTCAATAGTTTAAGGCCTCTGATTCAGGTTTTGCATTTGTCAGCTACCACTGAATGATAATTTAAATGAGTTCGTTTTCACGAGGATCAAATGAAACAATATCTGTGAAAACCTCTTACAAAGTTTCAGCAAATAGTGCTATGCAGTCACAGAGTTAACTAATTTTCAGTGTTAGGTAATTTTTAATAGCTTTCCGGAGAATTGGCGTCCGGCACACCAGTCTCGTTCCAAAATAATGCGGGCGGGGGCTGGGGGGCGCTCGTCTCGGATTGAGGCTACGTTTTTGGCTCCTTTTGTCTTTTTGGGTCATTAGAACTGTCATGGCGCCCTCAAGAAGAAGGCCTTCCCTGCGTCCAGCAGAACCATCTGGGGCACCTGGACCGGGAGGTGGAGTGGATAGAGAGACGAGCCCCAGCTGGGACAGAAAACACCCACCCCTGCAAGAGGTCTCGGCCGGTCGGGCGCAAGGGGAGGAGAGCGGGTGGAAGCCTACCCCAGCGGGCGCCCTGCGGAAGGGCCCCGCCCACCCAGCGCGTCTCCCAATGGAAACCTGCCGACGGTGCGGCACCGCCCATCTGTTGGTTGGGACGCCGCGAGGGCGGGGCCAGCAGTTCGGTTGCGCTGCGGAGCGCAGCTGTGAGGGAGTCGCTGTGATCCCGGGCCCCGGAACCCGAGCTGAAACTGAAGCGCAGGCTACGGGGCGCGGAGTCGGGAGGTGAGAGCCCAGGGAAATGAGGGCCCGAGGAGGGAGGGGCTCGCGAGAAGACAGAAGGATCGGCCTCTGAAGCCCGGGACGATGGGACCCGGGCGGGTGCTAAAGGCGGCCCTGTTCACTCAGTAGCCCAGGCCCGATCGGGCCCTGCCTGCTGGAGCCGAGGGGCCGCTTCGGCCCTGCAGTCTCTGCCTGGTCCTCCCCGGTCTACCCGGCGTGGCGGCGGCACCCCGGAATTCTGCGGGCGCAGGTCGGGAGGCCCTGGCGTTCGCTTGGAACTCTGGCTGCGAGAGGCGGGGCCCTGCGGGCGGGGGCGGGGGCGGGGGCGGCGGTGGGGGCGGCGGTCGCGGCCCGGCGGCCTGCGGAAGCGCGGCGGCCTGGCTAGGCCTGCTCGCGGGGCGGCGCGCCGACTGCGCGGGGGCGTGGCCTGCACCCCTGACTGCGCCGCCCTGCCGGCCTTTGATGAGGTGGCCGCCGCTCGCTCCCTGGGCCCCAGTCGGTTGCCCGCGCGGGCCGACTCTGCTGCCCTCCAGACGCCGGGCATGCGACTTGTTGGAGTGTGAAATTCTAGGGGCCGGGTTCCTCCCTCGAGCGGCTTCATTTCCGACTGGACAGTTCTGCGGGTCTCAGAGGCCCTTTGGTCCGCTCAGGGTGAGAAGAGCCAAAAGACCCCATCCCACGAGTTCTTGCAGAGGGGTTGACACGCAGAGGGGTTCTGTCCAATAAATGAAAGTCTCGGGGAAAAACTTTGCAGGGCCATCTGCATTACTCCGAAGGGAACACACTGCACCTCTCAGGGTGACTGGAGGCGGCCAGGCGATAGATTCCCCTTACGAGCATAAATGAGCTTTTCCGTGTCTGATCTCTTTTAAACCTCTCAGCGACTCTGAGGCAAAACTGGTGTCGCGGAGGTTTCTTCCTTCATCAATAGGAGGGGTGCTGGAGGATCTTGGGCACTGCTCTTGTTTCACTTGTGTTGAAAAAATTAGGACGGGACAAAAAGACACAAAAAATAATGGAGGGGATAAGCAAATTCCAAGGCCATCTATCACTGATGAAGGGTTGGTGTCTCCTGTTGTGCCCTACCGTGGGTTAGTTGTTTGTGTCCTAGGTCCAGAAGTTTCTTTGCAGTCCATTGGCTATAGCTTTCCTGTATTAGAATTCTGCTGTTTCCTATTGTAGTCTCGCTGGAAATTTTACTTAGTTCAGATTCTAGACGCATTCAGTGAATGTAGCTGCTCTAGGAAGTAACTGATAGTGTCTTCCATTTGCTTAGCTACTTTTCAGAAGGAACATGATCTCTAACAGAAGTTTTCTGATTACGAAAACAGGCAGATAGTAGCTTTCCTGGCTGGCTGAGTTAAATCTCTCTCCAGCGATCCTCCCACTTCAGCCTCCTAAGTAGCTGGGATTACAGGCATGAGCCAGCGCGCCTGGCAAATCTCTCTAGAATAAGCCAGGACCTAGAAAATAACATAGGGAAAGAATATCTTGCCAGATTTCCTCTGTAGTGCCTATTGCTCTTTGGTATTTTCTAGACTGTCTTCTAATAAAAGTCTTCTGAGTTGGGTTAAACATAGTGTAGATTGGGAGCAGAGATGGGCACAAATGGGCATCAGAGAGTTCTAAAATGTGAGCTTTTCAAAAATTGGTGTTGATTAGAGGCTTCTGGCATTCTGAAATGACTTAGAGGAGCAGATTTACTTTCCAGGATATCACTTTCTTTTTCTTTTTTCTTTCTTTTTTTTTTTGAGACATAGTCTCACTCTTTCACCCAGGCTGGAGTGCATTGGCGCCACCTGGCTCAATGCAACCTCTGCCTTCTAAGTTCAGGTGATTCTCATGCTTCAGCCTCCTGAATAAACTGGGATTACAGATGTGCACCACCATACCTGCTAATTTTTGTTGCCCAGGCTGGTCTCAAACTTCTGAGCTCACACAGTCGCCCCGCGACCACCTCCCAAAGTGCTGGGCTTACAGGCGTGAGCCAGCTTACCTGGCCCAGGGTATCATTTTCATACTTTAGAGCACTCTCTTGAGCCTAGCACACACAGGTTCCAACTCCTTCACAGATTTTGTTCTTAGAGACATGGAATAACATTAAGTGATTGTCTTGTGACTTTTTGTATAAGTTAATGGCATTTAACTCTTGAGAATTCCTTTTCTTCAGGTAGCCATGACCGTGAAAAAAATGTTATGCTTTATAATACTTTTTTGTATAAAAGTTGTACCTTGAATTATTTGTACTTGTAAGAAATAGCCTATATTAGATCTAGTGCCCCAGAGAATGGAAACTGCAGAGACTTTGAGCAGTGTGAATGAAATGAAAGCTGGAAGCTTAAAGTCTTAGGTTTGACTTGAATTTGTGGCTGCTTGAATGTGGGCATTTATTTTGTTCACTATTTTATCTCAAGTTCTTAGCCCAGTGCTTGGCCTACAATAAGTACTTAATAAATATTTGTCAAATGACTGAATGAAAAAAATGTTATTAACAATACCTATTTGTCACACTCACATCACAGGAAAGGTGAGGTCATCAGTGATGAAGTCACTAACAACTGCCAGTCACCTGCCCCAAAGGTAGTCTCACCATGGACTAGCAGGCTTGTTCTGTGTAGAGAAGGGATGAATAGCGAATGCCAAGATCAGTTCTAGCTGGATAAATTAGCCAAGAGTTTCAGCTGGAAAAGTTGACAGAGGGTGCTACAGGTCTAGCAAGGCTATCTCAGTGAAACATTTTGGAGTCTGGAGTTATCTGTTCTGAATAGCGCCCACATAGCTTAATTTTTTTTCTTTTTCTTTTTCTTTTTTTTTTTTTTTTTTTGAGATGGAGTCTCACTGTTTCCCAAGCTGGAATGCAGTGGGATGATCTCAGCTCACTGTAACCTCTGCTTCCTGGGTTCAAGTGATTCTCCTGCCTCAGCCTCCCAAGTAGCTGGGACTACAGGAGTGTGCCACCACACCCAGCTAATTTTGATATTTTTAGTAGAGACAGGGTTTCACCATGTTGGCCAGGCTGGTCTCGAACTCCTGACCTCAGGTTATCCACTCGCCTTGGCCTCCCAAAGTGCTGAGATTACAGGCATGAGCCACCGTGCCTGGCCACACATAGCATAATTCTTGAGCACAGTACAAACAGGGGGTACTTGGGGATTCAAGGGAAGCCTATTGAATGAGTATTTGCCAAGAAGGAATGGAGCACCTTATTTTGCTGTTAATTTGGACCTTACTAAGTGGAGTTAGACTGCCGTAAATTTTGTGTTTGCCATTCCTGGGTGGGTCATCTTCAATTAAGATAGCTCCCCTTCTCTAGACTCGAGTTAGGAGAATAGTGTTTCAGTATTTAGGACTGATTCTGATTTTGGATTTAAAGGAAACAAAGAAAGTGTGTGTTTTCTATTTTTAAGGGCCGGGCGTGGTGGCTCAAGCCTATAATCCCAGCACTTTGGGAGGCTGAGGCGGGTGGATCACGAGGTCAAGAGATCGAGACCATCCTGGTCAACATGATGAAACCCCGTCTCTACTAAAAAAAAATACAAAAAATTAGCTGGGCATGGTGGCGCGTGCCTGTAATCCCAGCTACTCAGGAGGCTGAGGCAGGAGAATTGCCTGAGCCCAGGAGGCGGAGGTTGCGGTGAGCCGAGATCGCACCATTGCACTCCAGCCTGGGTAACAAGAGAGAAACTCCGTCTCAAAAAAAAAAAAAAATTGTGTAGAGACTGGGGTCTTGTTATGTTGTCCAGGCTGGTCTCAAATCCCTGGCCTGTTTTATTTTCTATTGAATTTGCAGATGAGGTTATCAGGATTATTAAAAAAATTTTTTTTGAGACAGGATCTCTCTCTGTTGCCTAGCCAATGGCATGATGATAGCTCACTGTAGCCTCAAACTCCTGGGCAATTAAGTGATCCTCCCATCTCAGCCTCCTGGGTAGCTGGGACTATAGCTGTGCACCACCTTGCCTCGCTAATTTTTAAATTATTTTGAAGAGACGGGGGTCTCACTTTGTTGCCCAGGCTGGTCTCAAACTCCTGGCCTCAAGTGAACCTCTTGCCTCAGCTTCTCAAAGTGCTGGGATTACAGGGGTGAGCCATTGTGCTCCGCTGGATTACTAAATTTTGTTGTTTTTTTTTTAAGATGGAGTCTTGCTCTGTCATCCAGGCTGGAGTGCAGTGGTGTGATCTCAGCTTACTGCAACCTCTGCCTCCCTGGTTCAAGTAATTCTCCTGCCTCAGTCTCTTGAATGACTGGGGCTACAGGCGTGCCCCACCAGACCCAGCTATTTTTACATTTTTAGTACAGACGGGGTTTTGCCATGTTGGCCAGGCTGGTCTTAAACTCCTGACCTCAGATGATCTGCCCACCTTGGCCTCCCAAAGTGCTAGGATGGCAGGCGTGAGTCATTAAGCCCAGCCTGGATTACTGAATCCTTATAGATGTATCCTGACTCTCTCTGCCTTCTCCCTCTGTACTTGCCTCAACCAATGCAGGTCTGAGTGTTTCTTCCAGCATGTCGGAGGGGGAGTCCCAGACAGTACTCAGCAGCAGCTCAGATCCAAAGGTAGAATCCTCATCTTCAGCTCCTGGAGTGACATCAGTGTCACCTCCTGTGACCTCCACAACCTCAGCGGCTTCCCCAGAGGAAGAAGAAGAAAGTGAAGATGAATCTGAGATTTTGGAAGAGTCACCCTGTGGGCGCTGGCAGAAGAGGCGAGAAGAGGTAAAGTGATGGTACAATCACTCTTGGGAGACTGAATTCTGGAGAGGTGAGAACTGGAAGAGCAAAGTCTTAAAAGAGGCCGACCAAACTTCAAAAGGTTGGGGACTAGGAGGAGATGATCATATGGAGTGTTAAAATGGAAGATTTGAGACGTAACTTTAATTCTCTTTCATACGCATTTCTTCTCAGGTGAATCAACGGAATGTACCAGGTATTGACAGTGCATACCTGGCCATGGATACAGAGGAAGGTGTAGAGGTTGTGTGGAATGAGGTACAGTTCTCTGAGCGCAAGAACTATAAGCTGCAGGAGGTAGGTGGTGAAAAGACGCAGCCTGGGTAATGTTGGAACACTGATGTTAAAGAGGAATTGCTGTTGGGAAGCTGCCTATGAAGAGTATGTTGGGGTTAGATCATTTCTGGGGAGGGATAGGGAATGGCTTCTCAGGATTATTACAGTGATTTGTGAACTCTGCTATTCCATTGTCTCCCTTGCTCTCAGGAAAAGGTTCGTGCTGTGTTTGATAATCTGATTCAGTTGGAGCATCTTAACATTGTTAAGTTTCACAAATACTGGGCTGACATTAAAGAGAACAAGGCCAGGGTAAGAATTTTTTCCCCATATTTCCTGAACTTAGTGAAAAGAGACTAGCTACATTTATTATTGTTTCTTTTACATTCAGAGATTAAAACAGGGTAGTTTTGAAACAGAACTGGAATCAGCTGCTATGGCAATGAGAGTAGGGCTTCAGTTGCCACCTATGCCTTTTGTGTGGCTATAGACTGGGCAGAAAATGAGTGAACTTTCGCTTCCTTCTTTCTGTAACTTTTATTGCTTAGTAGTTTTCATTGATTGCCCGATTTAGTCTAAGTAAGTAAAGCTAAGAACAAAAGGAGAGAAATTTTAATAAACTTTCAAATGTAATGTATGTTAGAAGGGAAGGGATCATAAGGCCTTTTAATGAGTGCTTTGCCTCCACAGGTCATTTTTATCACAGAATACATGTCATCTGGGAGTCTGAAGCAGTTTCTGAAGAAGACCAAAAAGAACCATAAGACTATGAATGAAAAGGTATAGAAGGAGAGCAGACAAACCTTTAGGGGGTTTAAAAATGATTATTTTAATAATGAAGCTGATCAGGAAGGGATGGAAAGAGCTAGTGGGAGAGAGTTAAGAGAGGGAATTACTGCTAATCCTTGGATCAAACTTCGTTCCAGGCATGGAAGCGCTGGTGCACACAAATCCTCTCTGCCCTAAGGTAAGTAGTACCTGGTTAGTTTCTTACCCATATTTCCTGATTTAGTTCCTTCAGACAGATTTCAGGGTACTACTCTTCTGTTCTTTTCTGCCTCTCCCTACTTTCTTTGAATCATATACTGTCAAGATGAGGCCCGCTATGGGTCTTTTAAAGGATATATGCTAATGCCCTAACCATGACACTTATCTCCTACCTCTTTCTCCTAGTGCTTATCTAGCTATTTAAATCATGAGGCATAATGGAGATTCAGAGTGTGGGGATTATCTTTATGGTGACCAGCAGGAGACCTGGCCCTTGCTCCTCTTAACCCTTGGGTTCCCCCTGCCCTTAATTTCCCAGTGGCCCCTCTAACAGCCCAGTGCCCCCACAGCTACCTGCACTCCTGTGACCCCCCCATCATCCATGGGAACCTGACCTGTGACACCATCTTCATCCAGCACAACGGACTCATCAAGATTGGCTCTGGTGAGGGGAGGGAGAGGTTCTGGGCAGGGGAGCCTCGGGAATTTGGGAACCATGGGGGTAAGATGAAAGGAATGGGGGATAACAGAGCAAAATTCTGAGGTGTGGGTTGGTGAGAAGAGAAAGGACTTTGCTACGGGTAATTCATAGGAGAGGCCAGTTAATTAGTGGAGAGGGATAGGGTATATAATCTTACACCTTTTTGAAGGGAAACTGGAGTTAATACAGAGATACTGATAGGAGGTTGGGAAAGGGCAAGAGATAGGTTTGAAGTCTGATTTGAGCCCTGGTGCCAGACCCTGCCAGAGGAGGTTCCAGGCTGTGCCTGCTGTGAGTGCTTTCATTTGCTGTGTATTTGTGTGCAGTGTACAACATTTCTGTGTGCTGTGTTTGTATATTTGTGTGTCCATTTGTCTGGGGCTTGGCTGCTCCATCGCTCACAACTTTTCTCTGTTTTCCTCCCTCCCGCTTACGGGCTGCTCTGTTCCCAACAGTCTTTCATAGGATTTTTGCTAATGGTGAGAGCTCCCTCTGCCCCTCTTGGGGCTCTGTTTGTGCTCCCTCTGCTCCCTTGGCGGCTGCCCAGTGCATGCAGTCGTGGGAGCAAACCCTCTTCCCCTATCTTCCCTGCCTAATTATGCCTGCTTAGCTTCTGCCCTGCCAGCCCTCCGCCTGCTTGTCCCTCCATAACCTGCTTGTTTCCTGTGGATTCTGCCTGGCTGGCCACTTACCTCCTGGATTCATGTTCCCCTTCATCATCAGGCTAGTTCCCCAGATCATACTGTGCTCCCATATTCTCTGTGACTTTTAGTCATTGTTTATGATCCAAATGAGTCCAAATTGGGCCTGGTCCTGGTTCCTCGTTCAGCCCTGTGGCAGGCATTGTTGAGGAATAAGGGGGTAGAACAGGAGTCTAAAAAGTTTTGGTGGATTAAAACTTAAAAGTGGAACTGATTAAAGGGTATTAGCTGTTTTTGAGTTTTATTCAGCAAAGGTGGGTAAGAAGGAGGCTACATCCTGGGTTGTATGTTAATACTTCTTATCCTTCTTTATCCTATCCAAGTTCCTGAGGTCTCCAATTCTCCCAGATTAGGAATGGCTGCCATTCCTAAAACCAAAACTAAAAGTAAAACTAAAAGCCATTCCTAAAACTAAAACCAAATGTTTTCATGTGAACAGGGATTAGATGTACCTGGGATTTAGGGAAGGTGAACGGGACACAAGTGAAAGTTTTTCCTTAGGCTACATTGCTCCTAGACTGGCCTGAAGCCCCTGTATATCTGTTAATTTAGTCTGGTGCTTTTGTTGCTCCTGAATTAGGGACATTATATGAGAAGCAGTAAGCCTGAGAAAAGGGAGGTAGGTGGTATCCATGTGTGGTCTGTAGTTCAGGACGGGAAAGGGGATACGTTTGTACCTATTGAGGTTCATCAGAAAGGAGACTTTAGGAGAGAATTTGGCTTTTGGGTCCTCTCTCTGGAGTGAGACTATTATTCGTTGATGGTGGTCAGATTGTGGGTGTCTCCCCTACTCCCAGTGGCTCCTGACACTATCAACAATCACGTGAAGACTTGTCGAGAAGAGCAGAAGAATCTACATTTCTTTGCACCAGAGTATGGAGGTGAGCCTTCCTGGTTTCTCTGCCCTGCCCTCATCCCCCTGGTTTTGCATCTTATAACTTGAGGTACAGAGGCAATATAACTGAAACTTCTAGTTCTTCTCTACCAGCATACAAATTCTTTTTCTTTTTCTTTTCCTAAGGCATTCCTGCCAACCCCAGCCCCCAATCCTCTGATTAAACAAAGCCTTCTCTGTTTTCCCTAGAAGTCACTAATGTGACAACAGCAGTGGACATCTACTCCTTCGGCATGTGTGCACTGGAGGTGAGGAGACTGGAGGGGAGGGACCCTTCTCATTTGATAAGGGGTCAAATGAGAATATGGAAGAGGAAATGGAGGGGGGATAAGCAAGGTGCTAACTTGGAGGGAGTGATTGTGAGAGCACTGAAGTTCTTAGGTGTCTACTTTTTTTTATTCCTCTCCTTGAAGATGGCAGTGCTGGAGATTCAGGGCAATGGAGAGTCCTCATATGTGCCACAGGAAGCCATCAGCAGTGCCATCCAGCTTCTAGAAGACCCATTACAGAGGGTAAGGATCTTCAGGATCACTCCCTCCTCAACTGACTTTCAAATGTCTTCTGGTTTTTCTTCCTTTGTACCTACTGGGCATATCCTCCTAAGAGCTAGAGGATATAAAACAGAACAAGCAAAATCTGTAAACATTTCCTTAAGAGGTGCCTACCATGTTTTCGCATACATACACATAGGTTAGGGGGTTAAGATGGATGATTATTGGGGTTAAACGTTGTGTGTTGGCTGGGCACGGTGGCTCACACCTGTAATCCCAGCACTTTGAGAGGCCGAGGTGGGCGGCTCACTTGAGTTCAGGAGTTTGAGACCAGCCTGGCCAACATGGTGAAACCCTGTCTCTACTTTTTAGTATTTTTATACCAAAATTAGCTGGGCATGGTGGTGCATGCCTGTAGTCCCACCTACTCAGGAGGCTGAGGCAAGAGAAACGCTTGAACCTGGGAGGTGGAGGTTGCATTGAGCCAAGAGAGTGAGACTATCTTAAAAAAAAGAAAAAGAGGCCGGGCGCAGCGGCTCATGCCTGTAATTCCAGCACTTTGGGAGGCCGAGGCAGGCAGATCACACAGTCAAGATATCGAGACCATCCCGGCCAACATGGTGAAACCCCATCTCTACTAAAAATACAAAATTTAGCTGGGTGTGGTGGCACGTGCCTGTAGTTGCAGCTACTTGGGAGGCTGAGGCAGGAGAATTGTTTGAACCCAGGAGGCAGAGGTTGCTGTGAGCTGAGATCGCAAGACTGCATTCCAGCCTGGTGATGGAGCAAGACTCTGTCTACAAAAAAAAAAAAAAAAAGTGTGTTAATTTAAATGTGTCTACATGGAGGTAAATTAATTTGATGGTCATCTCAGGCAATTGCTGTATATTCTCAGCCATTTTTTTTCTTTCAGACAGCCATTTAGAGAGAGAAAGAGAGAGATTTTTTAATTTTCTTTGAGATGGAGTCTTGCTCTGTCACCCAGGCTGAAGTGCAATGGCGTGATCTTCGCTCACTGCAACCTCTGCCTCCTGGGTTTAAGAGATTCTCCTGCTTCAGCCTCCCAAGTAGCTGGGATTTTAGGCGCATGCCACCATGGCGGGCTAATTTTTGTATTTTTAGTACAGATGGGGTTTCACTGTGTTGGCCAGGCTGGTCTCAAACTCCTGACCTCATGATCCAACCGCCTCAGCCTCCCAAAATGCTGGGATTACAGGTGTGAGCCACACACCTGTAATTTTTTTATTTTTATATTTTTAAGCAAATCAATCAATTTAAATTAAACCAGTTGTTTAATTTATATTTATATTTATATAGTTAGGGATAGCACCCAGAAATAATGAGCTAAGATTTGAAAGACATAAGGTTATGAATCAGCAGATAAGAGTATAGTAAGTAAAGCCTGACAGGAAAGTCCAAACAAGAACAGTTTGTAACTCATTAGATAAGTATAATAGGGAACAGAGGAGAAAAGAAGGAAGACTGGTGGGAAGTCAGGAGGATAGTATGGAATAAGTTTCTAGTTCAACATTGAGGTGGAGTATTCAAGTGAAAGATTAGGTATGTAACCTTGTTAGCCTTCAAGGTTGAAAGCAGGTTAATTGTCATGGGATGTACAGAAGGCAGAAAAGGAGGCAGAGGTGAGGCACAGTGGCTCATACTTGTAATCTCAGAACTTTGGGAGGCTGAGCTGGGAGGATCACTTGAGCTCAGGAGTTTGAGACTAGCCCAGATAACATGACAAAACATTTCTATGAAAAAACAAAAACATAAAAATAATCTGGGTGTGGTGGCACATGCCTATGGTCCCAGCTACTCTGGAAGTTGAAGGGAGGGTTGCTTGAGCCCAGGAGGTTGAGGCAGCAGTGAGCTGTGATTGTGCCATTATACTCCAGCCTGGGTGACACAGCAAGACCCTGTCTCAGAAAAAAGAAAGAAAATAAAGCAGAATGGTTACAGGAATCCTGGGAAATTCAGTGAATTCAGTGATTGTGGACAAAGGAAATGGTGAATATTGATCACAGTGGGTAAGTGTGGGAAGAGATAAGCTAAAAATGTGGCAAGATTTAGAAAAGAAGATAGGCAATGAGTTGGCTAATAAAGCAGAGAGGTAAAAGAAATAAGGAAAAAAGAAGGAAAAAGAAAATGTAAACATTAAATAAAAAAAGAAAGTTTGTGGTTGGAGAGCAGATAAATGACTAAAACCAGAAAGGCAGTGGATGTATCTTTCATATACCTTACAGTTTTTGAAGCCCATTCAGGTGCGTTTGTCAATATATTGTATTCTCAGTAAGTGCCAAGCCCCTGCTATGTACAAAGCCTTGTGCTAAGTAGAATGAGAGCTATAAAGATGAATACATTGCGGGGCTTGCCAGATGCCTACTCCAGTTCCTTATTTTCTTTTCTAGGAGTTCATTCAAAAGTGCCTGCAGTCTGAGCCTGCTCGCAGACCAACAGCCAGAGAACTTCTGTTCCACCCAGCATTGTTTGAAGTGCCCTCACTCAAACTCCTTGCTGCCCATTGCATTGTGGGACACCAACGTGAGTCCTACTGGCCCTACAGGGAATATTCTTCCAATCTGGAGCCCTGTAACTATCACTGGCATGCTTGCTTTCCTCTTCTATTTCCAAAGGGATTCTTTTTTTTTTTGAGAAAGAGTCTCACTCTGTCTCCCAGGCTGGAGTGTGCAATGGTGCGCTCTTGGCTCACTGCAACCTCCGCCTCCTGGGTTCAAGCAATTCTTGTGCCTCATCCTCCCGAATAACTGGAATTACAGGCATGTGCCACCATGCCTGGCTAAGTTTTGTATTTTTAGTAGAGATGGGGCTTTGCCATGTTGGCCAGGCTGGTCTTGAACTCCTGGCATCAAATGATCTGTCTGCCTCAGCTTCCCAAAGTGCTAGGATTACAGGCATGAGCTACCATGCCCTGCCTCCAAAGGGATTCTTTACCCCTTTACATTTAATATGACTATTCCTCCATAACATCCCACTCCATCATGCCCTCCAGACATGATCCCAGAGAATGCTCTGGAGGAGATCACCAAAAACATGGATACCAGTGCTGTACTGGCTGAAATCCCTGCAGGACCAGGAAGAGAACCAGTTCAGACTTTGTGAGTAACTGAGATGGTCTGAAAAGGGCAGATTGGTGACTACCACTCTTGAGGTTCTGTTCATTCTCTGGGAATGGTTGAATTTGCTTTTTTGCTTGTTTCCTTCTTTCCATCTCCTTTCTCTTTTCTCCTCCAGGTACTCTCAGTCACCAGCTCTGGAATTAGATAAATTCCTTGAAGATGTAAGGTGAGAGCAGAGTGAGAAGACAGGCTTTCTTGAGGAAGCAGGCAGTGTTGGGTATCCTAAGACATTCACAGAGCTCATGTGATCTGTTTTCATCTCTCTCCAGGAATGGTATCTATCCTCTGACAGCCTTTGGGCTACCTCGGCCCCAGCAGCCACAGCAGGAGGAGGTGACATCACCTGTCGTGCCCCCCTCTGTCAAGACTCCAACACCTGAACCAGCTGAGGTGGAGACTCGCAAGGTGGGAGCTGTGGTGGAAGGGAGAGAGGACATCACAAATAAGGCTCTATCCTTTAGAGAAAATGCTCCCTAGCAGCCATGTGCTATGGGCTGGAAAGGCGTCTAGGTATTGGGTTTTTTATGGACAGGTCTCTAGAGTGACCCTCTCTGTCCTCCTTCCCTAGGTGGTGCTGATGCAGTGCAACATTGAATCGGTGGAGGAGGGAGTCAAACACCATGTAAGGCTCAGGGCTAGGGTTACGCAGGGCTGATGGCTAGAGGGTAGGGAGGAGTCTCATTTTCTGACTGTCCTATTCTCCAGCTGACGCTTCTGCTGAAGCTGGAGGACAAACTGAACCGGCACCTGAGCTGTGACCTGATGCCAAGTGAGTCTCTCCTTTCCCTCAGAGGATGGAGAGTCTGTGAGCCTTATCTTTGAGGGACATATTCAGGAGTGGGGAAGGCGACAAGGCAGTAACACATTGACTCACAAAGAATGGCTATCTTAGCCCCTACAACAGTGGGTGGATCTGACAGTTTAGCCCTAGTGGTGCTGTGTGAAGGGCCCCAGGTCCCTCAGTCCTGTACTGTACTCACCCCCTCCTGTTTCTCTGTTAGATGAGAACATCCCCGAGTTGGCAGCTGAGCTGGTGCAGCTGGGCTTCATTAGTGAGGTGAGATTTCTGCCTTCATCTGACCTGGCTGCCCCAGTGCCTTCTCTTCTCTCAGCCCCTGTCTCACTGAGCTCTTCTCCCCCAGGCTGACCAGAGCCGGCTGACTTCTCTGCTAGAGGAGACCCTGAACAAGTTCAATTTTGCCAGGAACAACACCCTCAACTCAGCCGCTGTCACCGTCTCCTCTTAGAGCTCACTCGGGCCAGGCCCTGATCTGCGCTGTGGCTGTCCCTGGACATGCTGCAGCCCTCCTGTCCCTTCCCCTCAGTCAGTATTACCCTGTGAAGCCCCTTCCCTCCTTTATTATTCAGGAGGGCTGGGGGGGCTCCCTGGTTCTGAGCATCATCCTACCCCTCCCTTCTCTTCCTCCCCTCTGCACTTTGTTTACTTGTTTTGCACAGACATGGGCCTGGGCCTTCTCAGCAGCCGCCTTCTAGTTGGGGGCTAGTCGCTGATCTGCCGGCTCCCGCCCAGCCTGTGTGGGAAGGAGGCCCATGGGCACTGAGGGAGCCGAATTCTACAATCCCGCTGGGGCGGCCAGGCGGGAGAGAAAGGTGGTGCTGCAGTGGTGGCCCTGGGGGGCCATTCGATTCGCCTCAGTTGCTGCTGTAATAAAAGTCTACTTTTTGCTAAAAGCGTCGTGTGTTCGAGCCTTGCCAGCCAGGGGGAGCGGGGCCGGGGCAGAGGCGGGGCCCAGGTGGGAGGGGAGCCCGAGACGGAAGCGGGGCCAAGGTTGGGGCGTGGCTGAGTCCATGTAGAGCTGCCCTATGGCCGGTGAGGCTGATGGGATGAGGCGCTGCCGTCTCTGCACTTTCGGTAACTTCCGGCTCCTGGCGTCTCTTGTCCTTCCCCTGGGGCCACTCTCGGCCTGTCGTCCTTGTTGTCGTCGTTAATCTGCCTCGAGCCACCTTTCCCTTACCCGCCCGGCTCAACCCTGCCCCTCCCCCATGCTTTGCAGACGCCGTCCGGGGCCCCCGGCGGCTGATGCGCGTGGGCCTCGCGCTGATCCTGGTGGGCCACGTGAACCTGCTGCTGGGGGCCGTGCTGCACGGCACTGTCCTGCGGCACGTGGCTAATCCCCTTGGCGCCGTCACGCCGGAGTACACCGCGGCCAATGTCATCTCTGTCGGCTCGGGGCTGCTGGTGAGCATGGCAGGCGGCCCGGGGTAGGGGCCGCGCACCCAGAGAGCCCAGCGGGCTAAAGGCTTTGTGTCTTCCACAGAGCGTTTCCGTGGGACTTGTGGCCCTCCTGGCATCCAGGAACCTTCTTCGCTCTCCACTGGTGAGAAGGAACTTCCTGGAGCTTTTAACGAGTAGGCTTGAGTTGGGGAAATGGGGGCTGACTGAGCTTGTTTTTTCAATGGACTGGAGGAGCCTCAAATAGAGATACTGGGTGTTTAGTTACTGGGAGAGTTAGCTAGGCCCAGGCTGCTCACCTGATGATCTGTCCCTGCCAGCACCGGGCCCTGCTGGCACTAGCTCTGGTGAACCTGCTCTTGTCTGCTGCCTGCTCCCTGGGCCTCCTTCTTGCTGTGTCACTCACTGTGGCCAACGGGGGCCACCGCCTTATTGCTGACTGCCATCCAGGACTGCTGGATCCTCTGGTACCACTGGATGAGGGGCTGGGACATACTGACTGCCCCTTTGACCCCACAAGAATCTATGTGAGCACATTCTCTTCCTTCTTGTGGTCTACAAAGCCTTGGTCTTGCCCTTTTAATTTCCCCTATTTGCCACACTTGCCCTACTTCCTCCTAGTCCCCATCCTTCCTTCTTTTCAGGATACAGCCTTGGCTCTCTGGATCCCTTCTTTGCTCATGTCTGCAGGGGAGGCTGCTCTATCTGGTTACTGCTGTGTGGCTGCACTCACTCTACTTGGAGTTGGGCCCTGCAGAAAGGAGGGACTTCAGGGGCAGGTAAGGAAGGTGAACCAGGAAAGGTTCATTCCACAGAGATTGGCTGTGTTGAAAAGATGTGACTGGCCTCGTGCAGTGGCTCACTCCTGTAATCCCAGCACTTTGGGAGGCTGAAGTGAGCAGATCACTTGAGGTCAGGAGTTTGAGACCAGCATGGCCAACATGGTGAAATCTTATCTCTATTAAAAATATAAAATATTAGTCGGGTGTGGTGATGGGCACCTGTAATCTCAGCACTTGGGGGAGCTGAGGCAGGAGAATCGCTTGAACCCGGGAGGTGGAGGCTGCAGTGAGCTGAGATTGCACAACTGCACTCCAGCCTGGGCAACACAGTGAGACTCTGTCTCAAGGAAAAAAAAAAAATAGCTGGTGACCTATCATTCAGGGCCAGGGTGTCTAATTCCACCTTCTTCTGCAGCTAGAGGAAATGACAGAGCTTGAACCTCCTAAATATAAAAAGCAGGAAAATGAGCAGCTGCTGGATCAAAATCAAGAAATCCGAGCATCACAGAGAAGCTGGGTTTAGGACAGGTAATGGGCCTGTGTAAGATTGGGGGCAGGGAAGTGCTCTTAGAACTGGATCTAGGTCTTGCCGTGCTGCTTTCCCCTCTGACACAGGTTGGTTGTCCACTCTGTCCAGCAGGTGCTGTTTCAAGACTCAGTCCCTAAGGGATTTTTCCCCACTAAGCAAGGGGCCCTGACCTCGGGATGAGATAAAAAATTGTAATAAAATAACTTTTCTTCTACTTGATTGTGATTCATTTTGGGGAAAAGGCACTGTGTGTCGGGGGTGACTTTGATCAAAGAATACAGTGGTCTCACTTTCTTATAAAACTTTAATGAGGGAGAGGTCCTAATTCTTCCTCAGCTTTACCGGCTACTGAAAGGAAAAGCTGGTGCTGGGGAGCCCTCCACACCACTGACTGATGAATTTCAGCACATCCTGGCACACTGGGCTGTGGGAGGTCTGTGAGCAAATGGAAGATGATGAGAGGACCTTGTTAATGCTGGAAATACAGAGAAAATCAGCTCCATCACAGGCTTCAGGGTCTGCACTTGCCTTCCTGCAATCCCACCCACCTTTCTAGTGTGCGTGTGAGAGTGTGTGTGTGTTTTGTTTGTTTTGAGACGGAGTCTCGCTTTGTTACTGAGGCTGGAGTGCAGTGGCATGATCTTGGCTCACTGCAACCTCTGCCTCCTGGGTTTAAGTGATTCTCCTACCTCAGCCTCCTGAGTGGCTGGGATTATAGGCACATACCACCACACCTGGCTAATTTTTTTTTTTTTTTTTTTTTTTTTAGTAGAAACAGGTTTTAACCATGTTGGCCAGGCCGGTCTCAGACTCCTGACCTTAGGTGATCCGTCCGCCATGTTGGCCAGGCTGGTCTCAGACTCCTGACCTCAGGTAATCTGTCTGCCTTGGCCTCCCAAAGTGTTGGGATTACAGGCGTGAGCCACCACACCTGGCCTTTTTTTTTTTTAAGTGCTGCCATGTCTGCCTTCATTCTTCAAGTCCCCCTCTCTAACCTTGATGGCCATAAGGAATTTATTCCAGTTGTCCTTGTTAGCAGCTTTCCCTGGCCGCTTAAATTCAATTTTGTTCCTCAGAATGGGGTATCCTGTGGAGGAAGAAAAAATGATGAACTGGGGTTTGAGAGAGATTGAGGAAGGAAAAATGAGGAGCAGCCTGGGGGTACAAACAAAGCAGCATGGTCCTATCTTTTGTACCCTTTACTGAATCCTAGTAAAATTTAAAATTAAGTTTATTGATCCTGTTGCTTTCCACCCCCCTACAGGATCTGGGGTGCTTTAGAGTTCTATACCTGTAATGAGGCAGGGCAGGGCTGGAACCCCAGTGCTTGCTGCCACCAGGGAGGCCTCGTAGGCGCCACGCTCATCCCGAGGCAGAACCTGTTCCAGCCGCTGGTCCATGGAGACTGTAAGCACCCAGTCTCGAACCTCTTCTCTCTCAGCCTCCTGGAAAGGACAAGAGGGAGTGGCAGCTTCATACAGGGCAGGGGAGGGCAAACTGGGGTGGAGGAGTAGGGAGGGGGTTTGCTAAGCCCTTGTCCTGTATACCATATACCAGCTTTCAGCTACAAATTATCCTCCTTGGATTGGCTTGGATTGGGGATGCAGTCACAGCATTTTCTTTCTTTTTTTTTTTTTTTTTTTTTGAGACCGAGTCTTGCTCTGTTGCCAGGCTGGAGTGCAGTGGTACAATCTCGGCTCACTGCAACTTCTGCCTCTCAGGTTCAAGCGATTCTCCTACCTCAGCCTCCTGAGTAGTTGCAATTACAGGCATGTGCCACCATACCCGGCTAATTTTTTGTGTTTTTAGTTGAGACAGGGTTTCACCATATTAGCCAGGATGGTCTCGATCTCCTGACCCTGTGATCCGGCCACCTCGGCCTCCCAAAGTGGTGAGCCACCACACCAGCCTCGGCCTCCCAAAGTGGTGAGCCACCGCACCAGCCTCGGCCTCCCATTACAGGGGTCAGCAACTGCACCAGCCCAGTCACAGCCTTTTCTTTCTACTCTGCTTCTACTTTCACAGAAAGAATAGTGAGGGCTGAGGTCCTTCCAAAGATGGCATCACAAAGATGTTCTCCCTCCTTAAGGCACTCACACTGGTGAGGTCTTCCCATTTTCCAGCCCTGTGCCCTTACTGGTACATGCTGCTTGGCTGGGAGTGGCACCTCAAAAGGAATGTCTGTATCTTGAAAATCAGAGTGGTCAAGGCCATCCAGAGTCCCTTCCTCGATTGCCTGCAGTAGAGTGGGCAGCCATGAGCTAGGCACAGCCTGTGACTGGCAAAACATCCCACCCTCAGGGCACAGCTTCCCTACTCACGTCGGTCAGGTCCAAAAATCGATTGAGGAAGATGAATGCCATGTTCTCCCAGCCAACTGCCTGCAGCAGAGAAAAGTTGCAAATGGGAGTGAGCAAGCTGGGCCTGGATGTTACTTCTCTGGGATGCAGGAGAAAAATCCAGGAAGACATAGGAGGATTATATCCTCCACAACTTCAGCCCTACACTCAGCTTTCTGCTACCTGAGCAGAAGGGATATTCTCTATTTTCCAACCTTTGACTTCCTCCCATCTGCCCCACCCTTCCTTGTCCCAGCTCACCTTGGCAGCAATGCCTGCTTCATAGAAGGCTTTGTCTACAGGTAGTAGCTGGGTGTGACGCAAGAGTGAAACAGAAAGCCTGGCAGCCACAGTTTCCTGGGATTAAAGTCAAAGCATTATGAATACGGCACTAAAGTGACTGAGCTACAGACCAATGATCCTGTAAAGCAGCCACAGAACTAAAAACAACAAGCAATATTATACTGCTCTGGAGCTCGAGCTGTTCTGGGTCTTATTTTTATTTATTTATTTTTTTCTGAATAAGAGACCTGGGCCTAGTTTCAATTTTTTTTTTTTTTTTTTTTTTAAATAGAGTCTTACTCTGTTGCCCAGGCTGGAGTGCAATTTCAGCTCATTGCAACTTCTGCCTCCCAGATTCAAGCAATTCTCATGCCTCAGCCTCCCAAGTTAGGACTACAAGCGTGCACTATCATGCCAAGTTAATTTTTATATTTTTAGTATGGGATTTTGCCATGTTGGCCAGGCTGGTCTTGAACCCCTGACCTCAAGTGGCCCACCTACCTAAGGCTCCCCTCCCAAAGTGCTGGGATTACAGGTGTGAGCCACTGTGCCTGGCTGCCTAGATTCTTTCTAAGGTTCTTTCCACTTCTAGAATTCTATTATCCAGGTACATGATATAAATATATAGTAAACAGTCATAAATAAGCCCAAAATATGTGTACATTACAAGAGGTGAATAAAGAAATCATGGGATTTGGATGTTTAAACATAATGAAGCTGGAGCTGTGTGGGCACAGAGCCCTAAGAAGGTGAGAAGAAAACCTCAGCAAGGGCTAAAGATTTGTTTAGACAGAAGAGAAGCTGAAAGAGAGGGAGCAGATTCAAGAGCCTAAGTTGAAGAATCCAGAATGTGAGACAATTCAGTTTCATACATCTGCAGTGTGTGAAACTGACTGAGTGCTCCTCTGCCCCCTCTACATCTCACCAGCTGTTTGACACTCTGGGCTGCAGAGCGGGTGGCATAGTAATGAGCGATCAGCAGCATCGTCTTGAACTCCTCATGGGCTGGAGAGTTTGCCTCACTGGACTTCACCAGGTTTTCACACTAGAAGAGGGAGACAGCACAGCCTGGCTCAGGGGTCAGAGGAGTGCCAAGGCCATAGAGTGGTCTCCGATGGCCACCTGGCAGAGGAAGGTAAAATACATCTGAGAATAAAGGTTTACATGCATGAAAGAAGAGATGAAGACAAGGACAGGCAGAGCAGCCCTTTTACTCTTGTCAACCCAACTTCCTCACCAGGTTGAAAAGGACATCTCGAAGATCAGCCCAGCTATGATAGGCCTCAGCGCAGTTGGTCCCAGGAGAGCTCACCATGTCAGTGAAGATCCTTTTGTAGATATTGAAGTTCTAGAGGTAGAGGGGAGAAGGGCATTTGAGAAGGGCACAGCTAGAAGAGAAAGTCAGTGAAAGTGGGGCAAAAGGGACAGGCTTTGTGTGTAGAAATAGTTATGTGTGTGTTCAAGAGCTGGGAGACAGTGGTAGATTATTAAGTGCTGATTTTTTTAATGAAGTGAATTATTCATAAGTGCTGTTTATTTTTGATGAAGAGAAAAGAGGAAGAAAATAACTATTTTTTAGCTGGTGCTCTGTGAGTGGGCAACTGTACAAATGTAAGTACAGAGTTACAACATTAATGGGCTGTGACTCTCAGATCAGGGAGCAGTGTTCATTCTCTGGAGGAAGTCAGTAAAAAACCTAGAGGTGTGTGTAGGATTCATCTCTGAAAGACAGGTGGCTGTGTATTTGCTAACAGCATGGGGAGCTCCATGGGTGTTTCTTTTCTTTTCTTTTTGAGACGGAGTTTCGCTCTTGTTACCCAGGCTGGAGTGCAATGGTGCAATCTCGGCTCACGACAACCTCTGCCTCCTGTGTTCAGGCAATTCTGCCTCATCCTCCTGAGTAGCTGAAATTACAGGCACGCACCACTGTGCCCAGCTAATTTTTTGTATTTTTAGTAGAGACGGGGTTTCACCATGTTGACCAGGATGGTCTTGATCTCTTGACCTCGTGATCCACCCGCCTCGGCCTCCCAAAGTGCTGGGAGGGTGTTTCTTTAAACAGAAGTTGTAAGTTTCTGCAAACTTCTCTCCATGCTCTTAGCAAATACACAACCTCCAGAGAGGCTGTACATTTCTGAAGATGCATGGCAGGCTCTGGACATGACGTTCTCTAAGGATAGAATCCTCTGAGAAGATAGTTCCTGAGAGGAGAGGAGAAACAGTTTCCTTGTGGAAACATTTAACCCAAGAAGAAGGCAGGTACCTGTGGGTTAGCAGGGGCTCCGTGATGTACATACAGGGCCAATGCCTGGGCAGAGCTACCCTCTCGGATCAAGTGAGTTGCATACAAAGCCACGTATTTGTGCAGAATCTTGTAGTTCTGTACAGGGGTGGAGGAAAAGTTGGGATCAGTAAGACCAAGCAGTGAGGGTAGAGTGGTGACTTGAGGCCATGGATTTTTTGAGGAAACAAAGGGTGTATGCAAACCTCTGACCCCAGTTTCAGACTGAGCTTCTCTGATGCCCATTAGATTATCTTTGGGCTTTGGGTTTTTGTGGAGGTAAGAGAGATGCAGCTTTGAGGCAGGTGGGGA